GATTTGTACTTGTACCTTAACAGAGGGGATTGCCTATTGATGACGCCTCCAGTCCTATATGCTCTAAGGTGGCAGAAAAAAATTTGCTCTGATCCCTTTGAAAATTGGCATGTGGATGTTCGATGAGTGTTTGATAATAATTTATGGTCTAATTTTATTTTTCGCCACTCTTCAATATACTATACTATACAATACACTCTGCAATACAAACTTTTTTGGCGGTAGATAAAAATTTCTTCTAACTCGTCTGAAAATGGCAAGGCTTCAATCATAATATTTAGGTAGAAATTTTGTTTCCGCCGTTTTTCGAAATAGCCGCCGTCGTATGGAGGTAATATACAGAGGCGTAATAGGTTACGAGTACAAGATCTCGCAATTGTAAAAATGTAAGGCATACTTCCCGATGCAGTGGAAATGAGATACTTATAATAGCGTTGTTGTAACTCGACCGTCTCTCTGTTAGATTCCTTTTTTTTTTGGAAGCTTTGTCAAAGAGAAATATTTATGGAAAAAAATGCCAAATTTCTGCCGAATTTTCTGTACTATAAATACCAGAATAACGATAACTCTGAGGGCACAATACCCAGAATACTCAGACCAAAACCAACTTAAAAAAAATGTTCATTTCTTAAATTGGCCCCAATCGAGAATGCCTCATCAAGCACCCATAGTACAACCGCTGTGCCAACGAAGAGCATGAGCACACCCCGTAATCTGAAAAACCACTTTCCAGGAAAAGTGCAGAAAAATATTCGGAAAAATGTTTATTTTTCTAAAAAATATAATATTTTCAAAATGGAAATTTTTCTATGAATCACTAGTTGCATGCTCAATAAGTATTATGCTAATGATAAATGTAGTGTTGAAGCATGGACAAATTTCCTTTTTGAAATAATGATATTGTTCAGAAAATTAAATATTTTTCCTATATTTTTACTGTATTTTTCCCTATTTGACCGTTGACACCTGTCAAAGTTGAACATACTGGACGAAAACGATGGAGTCATAGATGTATACTAAATCTATCGATAGAGTAATTAAAGACTTTTTACCTAAATTCTTTTTTTTTTACGATTGCCGCCCTCTGTCATGGTAGCCTAGGGCTAGAATAGAATTCATTTATTACAACGCCGCAACACAAAAATATAAGATAGATGTGAATAAGGCCTAGCCGGAAACAAGGTCCAGTATTAAAAAATGATAGAATAGTTTAATTCGTACAACAGTTCAAGCACTCATAGAAATTATATATGTAACCAGCTAGCAAAGTTGTTTCGGGTCGCGTGCGCCGCCATTTGGTCATTAAGTGTTCAAAAAATCTGTACAGTAGGGCTAGCACAATAGGGCGCGACTAGCGCGAGAGCGACATGAAGCGCGAGATACTGCTATTCTCACATACCGATCCCGCGCTTTATGTCACTCTCGCGCAAATCGCGTCCTATCGTGCTAGCTCTACAAATCGTTGCAACTACATTGCGGATTTTTTGTCATATATAATCGCACTTTTGTCAGCAAGTTTCGCGGTTTATTCTTTGTTTTTACTTTGATGTGATTAGCAAAAATCGACTTATTACGGAAACGTATATTCTTACGTTTTGTTATAATATGTCTATTTTTACATTATATATGTTCATTATTTATGAAAATTTACTACTAGAGCTTCATAATTACTGCTGTAGTGGGTTATAAGGCCCTTATTTAACGTATGAGATTTTAATAGTCTAATTTAAAAACAAAGAATAACTTCTAATGCTGTTTATCATACTTGTTCGTTATAGGACAATCAAAGAGTTTAATATTATAATTCACGTTAATTAGAACTTCAAAAGATATTTCTAAAAGAAGAACGTAATGAGCCTTCGAATTATATTTTTCCAATTTTTATATTGTAACTCTGAGAGGAAATCGAAGACCCATTATAAAAAAACCGTCCTCAAAAGTGGCCCTTCGCATTTCCTCCATCACTTCTCAATGAAATTTTTTTTAAGACACAAATTGACTCTAAAATGTTTCGTGCGTTTTTTAATCGAAAAGGATGTTTATTATAAGATGTATAAATTATTATTATTACTCGTAATATTAAGAAAAGTAGAACCTGTTCCTAGACGAAGCGGAAAAAGTTTTATGATCTGTGAGATGATGTCACTTTGACAGGACTCGCTTTGGACCTTTTGGAGGGAAAAGTGTCGTTTTATTTTGATTTTCAATTATTTTGTGAAATCTAGTTTAAAGTGGAATAGGATAGTGCTATTGTGCTTTAAGGGCTATACTACACGGGCGGTTGTCCCGCCGCGGGAATCCGCTTCTGAACCGCACTAGACTCAATTATATATGGACATTATATGCTACAAACTGCACTGCGCGGTTTCCCGCCGCGGTTTGCAGGCGGGAGAAATTCGACCGCCGCATACAGCGTCAAACCGGGGCGCTGTTAACCGCCGTTTAAAACTACACGGGTGGTTATCCGCTATTGCGTCATTCTGCGCGGGACCTTCTCGCTCGCTCGTCGTGTGTGCGCTTGCGTGGCTAGTGCCGCGTCAAAATGTTCGACACAGAGCGTTTTATTATTGAAGTACAAGAAAGACCTGCTTTATATGAAGTGAAGTCGAAGGAATACGCCAATCGGGAATTAAAAGCGAAGTCATGGCTGGAGATAGGACAGGAAGTGGTTGCTCATTGGGCTGATTTAGGCCCAGAAGAAAATAACAAAGCTGGTAAGTTTACTTATTATTTTATTTCTTATTTTAATGTATCGTCCTGTTTTGCCAAGGAAGCGCTCCAGGGCCATTGAAATATTGAACAACCGAATCTCTTACTGAAATGCCACTAGATCGGCCTCCAACTGCCTGGACTTCGTCGAATTCTTCCATATCACATCGAATCGTATCTTCAAATTGATAACCATCTCTGCGTCTTACGAAATTGTGTAATACAAGCAGCTTTTATAATGTGTTTTGCACTCTGTGGATTGATTATGATGCTTGAATGAAAAATTCGCCACTTGTTACTGAGGATACCAAATGCACATTCCACAAAGCGGCGGGCTCTAGACAGTCGATAGTTAAAAAATTTCTAAGGCGTGTCTGTTTCGTAAAGAAAATGCTCTCATAACATTTTTTATTCAAACCGAATGCAGCATCACCTACAAATACAAAAGGCAGACGAGGATTTCCTATATTGTTAGGAAGATGAATTGGCTCCGGTAAATCCAATTGAGAACGAGTTAACTTTTGCCCGAAATTTGAACTTTTAAAAATTGAAGAGTCACTTTGTCGACCTGGAGCACCAATGTCAATGAATGTAAAACAGTAGTCTGCGTCAACCACTGCCAATAAAATAATCGAATGATATTTTTTATAATTATAATATTTAGATCCAGCATTCGGAGGGCAAACAATTCTAATATGTTTGCCGTCAATGGCGCCAACGCAATCAGGAAAGTTCGCTTTTTTGTAAAATTTCTGAGCTATGTTTATCCATTTTTCCTTATTTGGTTTTGGCATCTCTAAAGGTGCTGATTCTTGACAAATAGCTTGACAGGTTTCTTTTACATTTAATGGTATAGTTTTTCGAGAAATTTGAAAATCGTACTCCAAATCAGTGAAAGTTGCTCCCGAAGCCAAATATCTGGAAAATAAATAAATGCCACATTAATAATACATTTCTTTTTTGCAGTAAAGGACCTAATGAAGAAGTGGAAGAATATAAGAGATAGTTATAAAAAAGAAGTAAATTTAGAAACTACCCCAGTGTCGGGACAATCAGCTCCAAAAAAAAACGATATATTTATTATGAGTTGTTGTTCTTTTTACGCTCTAGCGTCAGTACTGCACAAGAACGTGAGTCCAACGTATCTCCAATACCTTCGAATTCATCACAAAATCAGGATTTTGAAGAAGATAATTTGATGAGACCACCGCGACAAAACCGAGTTCCTACCAAAAGAAAGAAACAAATGGAAAGTACCCAAATTCCTCAAATAACAAAAATTTTGAACGAAAGTTTACAATTACAAAAGTTAAATAACGATAGTGACGCAAAAGGAAATTGAGCATTTCATATGTCCTTTGTACCCATTATGGATTCCATGACTCCTGATTTGGCTATGGAAACTAGATATGTAATTAGGAATTTATTCAGAAATATACAAAGAAACGAAAGAAACCGCAGTATTACTAGTGTCGCATCGTCACAAAACGATACTGCTTCGGACACATCAACGGAAAATGATGATTATTTTAATGTTCTGCATTACTTACTCCAATAAAATAATGTTATTTTATTTACCTGAAAGTTACAGCCAAACGTTCCGCAGGTGTGATGGATCTTCGCATATTTGTATCCTGTTTCTTAATACGTTGGCTTATAATTGATAGAAGTTCATCAAATGAGTTCACAGACATTCTATAGTAAGAGAAAAACTTACGAGGGTTATCACGGTGTGCACTAAACATTGAATGAAATATTCCCGAAGTTAAACGGTTACTTAACACTGGTTCCACCCAAACATTGCGGTTTACTTTATTTTTTAATAATTCTAATAATATAAGAGCTGCAAGCGCAGTTATCATTGGCTTGGATCCATGTTGAAATGAACACAAAACACAGCGGTCGTCCCGTGTAGTTTGCTGGTTTGCGGGAGCTTTGTCGAGCGAATTCCCGCGGCGGGAGAACCGCCCGTGTAGTATAGCCCTAATCGAAGATTAAAACGCGAAATTATACGAATCTCGAACTAAAATACCCGTATCGGCCCGTTTTAAGGAATCCCGAGTCAATCCAAGCACGCCGCCTCAAATTGCCTATCCTCGTTGTGGCGGATATTTACAGAAACTAAATTAAATTTCATGTTTAGCCTGATGGCTTTGCCAAAGCCTTAATAAATTAAAAAAAAATATTTTGACAGTGACAGTTGTTTGTTTACGTTTTGAAGTCAATTGACATTTTAGTCATTTTATGATTTCGATTTCATCATTTTCATTTCACAGTATAGAGCGATGTGGAATCGAATCCGGTCTACCGATGTACGTTACTGACACAGTACACAGTTTCGTTAACATATAAATGATAATAAAAACTAAGAAGTTGAAGATACCCCTCGACTATATAAAGGAAAATGGCCGATGTAGTAAGTAAGTATTGTACGAAGTCACGTACATTTTAACCATTTACATTTTTATATTATCTTATGATATGACAGTGAATGTTTCACTAATTATTTCTTACTATACTTAAAACTTTTCTCAATACGGTTTATATGTACCGCATGTTAACCTGTACAAATTATCAAAATTTGCAATTAAAATTACAATTTTAATGTTGAAAAAGATCATGAATAATATTGCGCAATGAAAGTGATTCATAATTCCAGGTTTCACAACATGGCCTAAGCATCAGAATCCATTCTACATGCTGCAAACAAATTTTGTAAATTTCGAAGTAAAAGCTCCACGAAATGCTCTTCTAAAACTTGGGAGAAAACCTAATATTCGTAGTGATATTTTGGTAAGTTCGATCAGATGAAGAGGGCTCTATGAAAACGGATAGATATTTTTTTCTTGCAAATTGTTTTTAATGCTCCAACAAATGGATGTTGGATCTAATACGAAAACCACGAAAAAATGTCCGAAGTTAACTATACAAACATAGTGACATGTAACAAAATATAAAAAAACTAAAACATTTCATTTAAATTGTAACATCATTGCAGTACTGCCTAATTTTGCTTGCAACAATTCAAGGGCCTAAGAACACCGTATTCAGCTTCTACTGAAAATGTAAAAAAATTCGCCATATTTAGCTTCGCCTGAAAATTACTTGAACATGAGAGTAACGGAGCAGCCTTATTGTAAATATTAATTCATTTTTATATATATTATTTGTCGAATTTTGTACAAATTCACTTAAAGTAATAATAAAGAGTTGGGCAGATACATACATACAAATATTACAAATGTCGAAATAAGGGTGAACTATAAGAAATGTACCGATATTCCAACGTAAACTCAAATATCCATAATTCCAAAAACTGATTTATAATAAAACCATTATGCTTTCAAGTAATTTTGATGCTTTTCACAATGACAAATATAGCTTTTCTTTTGTAATATTCCTAAAAAAATACATTTGACATTATGAAAATTCAAGCTAACGTTATTTTGGGCAAATGTATTTTCTAACTTCTGATAGGTAATCCAAAGCCGTAAAACGAGTACAACAATATTTTGTTAGTTATTGCTAACGTTGAATAAACAATCATTTTAAAAATAAGATCAAAATCAAAACGACTATAGTTTCTTTGTTCTAAATAGTTCAATCGATAGTTTAAACAATTGAAAATGACCAAGAAACTGACATAATGAGTCTCTTTCCATCTTTTGCGCATGCATTGTGTAGAAAAGGGCAGTTAGCTATTTGATTATTTTGTTTGCTTTTGTAATTTATATTTCCGATTCATTTATATATAATTTAATTACTATACAACTGCACAAAATAACACTTTTAAATGATAACTATGATAACACAATGTATTTGTATAGTGAAAATATAATACAAAATCCTGCTTTAACACTTTACTGCAGTAATTTTTGCAAGTTATTATTATATAGTACTGCATGATTGACAACTGCGCTGTTAGTCGAACAAACGAAACTTTTGCGTGATTGGCGCTCCGTGTGCGATTTAATTTTAAAAATTTGCGGACAGTTTAAAGCGCGAACCTGACGTCCATTTGTTGGTAGGTTAATGCTCATTTTAGGTAGATTGCATCTAATTAAACACTTTTTAGTGTTATAAATTTTCCTTTATGGTTAACGAGAAAGTTGCTCTAACTGAGTTTTGCAATTGTTCTCTTTAGATGACCTACATGTTCAGAAAGGCCTTAAATTCAAGTCTGACTATGCGACCACAAAGAAAACGTTACAAATTGATGAAAAGTGGTGATGTTTATTTAAATCTACTCAACTTGAAAGTAGCATTAAATGTAACTAATAACAAAATTTAAAAATCAACTGAAATTTTCCTGTTACTTAATTTGTAAAAAATAATTTTATTGAAGATCTTGATGTTACTACCATTATGTTTTGTGAAATTACTTCACTGCTTCACTAGTTCATTATAATTATTAAAACAAAGATCAAACACAAAGAAAAATTCCTTCAATCAGACAGAATATCGGAAGTCTACTAAACACAAATATAAAAAACAATCATGAAGAAGTGAGACATGTAAATGTTAGTCTGTGGACTGTCAGGAGGAGACTTATAGAAGTTGGAATGCACTGCTAAAGGTGGGTTGGGGACATAAATTACTATGTGGGCACACACAAGCAAGGTTGAGGTTTGCCAAAAATAGAAAAAAACTCTTAGGGTCGTATTCTAGAACTCTACTCAATGCTCAAGTCAGGATTGTAATTGAAACACAAACACTGGAAATACGACCGTAATGGCAGGAACTTGAGTATGACTTCGAGTGCTTTAAACCATACTCAAATCCTGACTTGAGCATTGAGTAGAGTTCTAGAATACGACCCATAATACACAATGATTCAGGGAAATCATAATTCCTCATGTGCAGCCAGCACTAGCTTTCTCTGCTGCTGCTGTATTCATTGACAATAATGCTCAAGTACAACGAGTGGGCGAAGTAGACTCTTACCTGACTGAGGTTAGGATTTGCTATTTAGATTGGCCAACACCAAACGATCCTGACCTAAGTTCCATTGAGCATCTGTAGGACGTTCTAAAACGGCGTGTTGGAGATGTACATCCCGCCCCACAGAATATCCAAGAGCTCAACACTGCTGATTATGGCTGAATTTGTATACCTGAAGATAAAGCATGCCACGCACAATTGCAGAAGTTATCTTGGCAAGAGGAGGACATACTCGATACTACGTTACGATTTTCTTTTGTAACTATAGCTTAATTAAGGGTAGTTGTCAGATAAAGATCAGTGAGTTTCTAAGTACAAAACAAAGAAAAAATCAAATTCAGAAAGGTTAATCTATATACAAAGTTATATGACTATTTCTAAAATAATTGTACGTAACGAAAAGCACATTACGAAATACGACAAAAAAATTTAACATTAAGCTTATTATACATTGGCAAAATATAATATTGACATATCTGCCTACTGCCATACTCATTCTTTTTCGCATTGTCGAGGTCGGGTAATAACTGTGTACACAGCTTTATCCCGTTATGTAACGAAATGCATAAACATGTAACGTAATAATAGTACAAACATGATTATAACGATAATAACAGTTTTTAAATGCCAATGGTTTGTTATTAACCTGATATTACAAATGTAATACGCTTATTAAACATTTAATTTACATGTATTACGAAGGGTTAAATAAATCAAGACTCACCTTATCATGAAAAAGTTCTTTTGGTACTATTGACTATTGAGTCACGAAAATATCACGTTTGGACAGATTGTCCTGAAAAATATGGCCGAGGACGGCAAACCAACAGCCAATAAGGATAATTCTAGTGGTGCCCATGCAAAAATCTAAGGGATGAGTTCGGAAATTAAGTGAAAGTGGAAATTAAGCGTAACGATAGAAAAGTAAATCGGTTTGACTCATTTTGTTTTTGGCATATTACTTAAATTTTCATACAGAAACTACATTCAATCAAGGTCTGTAATACAAAACATGCACCTTATTATTGTGACATTTCGTATTTTATGAATGAAGTGACTATTGTTAAGAAAAAGTTAAAATAATTAATGAAATAGTAAGATTACAATTTTCGTTCTTCATAGTATTAAAAACTAACGTGTTTTTCTTTAAAATGTTCCTATGTATTTTTAATGACTGAATAACAACACAGTATTTTTGTTTAATATTTCGGGGCACTCCTTTTTTAGTAAATGTACATATATTTTGAGAAATGGCCATTTAATCTCTGTAAATAATTTTCAATACCGTAGCAACCTAATGGTTTGACCTACTGTCTTTCAAGCAAATGTCGTCGGCTCGAATGCGAGCGTGACGCAACGAACAAGTCTTGCGCCTGATGGTAAGCTACACGCCTGTCCATAACAATTTGCAGTGCCATTCGGAGCATTAAATCGCAAGGATCTGAGGAGCACTGCTACTGCGCCCGTCACGCTGAGACATAAGTTGATAAGTCCCGTGTGCCTGTAATTTCACCAGCACCCTTACCCTTCAAAACCGGAACACAGTAATGCTGACATTACTGCTTGGCAGCAGAAATAGATAAGGTGGCAGTACTAACCTGGATGAACTGTCTCACAAGGAGCTCTACTGCTATTAAAATACAATCATAGATTGTCATGTAATCATTTCTAGCAATATGAAACTGTTTTATTTTGCCTAATCAAAAGTTCACATTAATGGAAGTTACGAGATTTACGAATTTTGCCGACGATATTTATTACTTATCCCAAAGTATTAAAAAGGATGGCTCACTGTACCTACTTAGGTACTTTTTGGCTCAATGAGTCTTGAGTCTCCAATTTGGTTGTTACGCAATATATTTGATCGAAAGTTGTTATACCTATATAAAATTTGAAAGTAACCTAAATATTAATCTGTTTTAGATTGGTATCGGCGACGGTGGAAACAGTTGCTGGATAATGAAAGATGAAAATAACGTAAGCTCAGCATTTGTAGATAATGTAATAACATCTATGCAATATCGAAGATTCTGGGTTACCTGGACTGGGGGACTTATAAAACTAGGTTGTGATGGAGAAACAACACCTATAGTAACATTAACAAATGAGTACCCAGATCTCAGTTATGTTGCATTTGGTGTGCTGAGAGAAATCAATCCTGTAGAATGGAAATTAGAATGTGAGTTCAGAGCTACATACCTGTTTTATGTTCTCATCCATAATTTTGTTTCAATTTGATTCGTTTTTTTTTGTTTTATTTTGGTTGTGAAATTTGTTGCTCTAGTACCACCTGTGATAACAACACCAGAATGTAAACTTATTTCTGGAGGGAAACTTAAATGGGTACGTGCAGAGGATCAGCTACCCGTAGGTGCCTTGATCGGCGGTTTTGAAAATGAAACGCTATACATTATTAGAGCAGCACATATGCATTCATTGACCCCAGGGAAATTTGTGTCATCACAAGGTACAGCTTATATACCTTGGGGTGGTAATGAACATCCAAAAAGTGAATTTGAGGTATGTTGTTTTTTTTTACTTTACTATTTATACATGAACTGATACATGAAGATCTTTTGATAAATTTCGATAATACCTGTTTCGCTCTTTAGGTATTATGTGGGTATGATTGTACCTGGATACAATCTTGTGAAGACAGAGTACCAGTGGGAGCTTTCGTTGGCGGTTTTTCAGAAGTACGTCATGAAACTTTATACATAGGGAGGGCTGAACACAATGGATATTTGATCCCTGGAAAGGTTCAGCCTTCTCACAAAGTGTGTTATATATCATTTGATGGCAGAGAAATAGGAAAAAAAAATTATGAGATTTTAATGACCCAAATACTACTGTGAGGCATGATGTCACCGTTTGGTAATTTTAATTGTACTAGTCACCCGTGGCCATGTGACTTGTAAATAGCCTGAAACATTGGTTTGTTTGAAGAAAGAAATATACGCGATTTACATCTGAAAACTAGTTTCATTTCCAATATATTTGTTATTGTTCGTTAGTTTATACATCTAATTAATTATATTTATATGTCTACTACAAGTAAGAGTGTTTTGGGGTATTTTGTTGTATTTATACATGAACTGATAGAGCTTTTCTAATACATTTAGTTTGTTCCTTTTTCGCATTTTAGGTGTTATGTGGATATAATTGTACATGGGTACAAACTTGTGGAGACAGAGTACCAGTGGGAGCTTTCGCTGGTGGTTTCTCAGAAGTACATCATGAAACTTTATATATAGGGAGGGTTGAACACAATGGACATTTGATCCCCGGTAAGGTTGCGCCTTCACACAAAGTGTGTTACATATCGTTTGTTGGCAAAGAAATTGCAAAAAATAGCTTCGAAATTTTGATCGACTCAAATGTAACTGTGGACCCCACGACCTAAATTTCAGTTCAGATTCAATAATCGGTCAATCATCTTCATTTTTTTTTTTGTTTTATTTTTATCTTATTATATTAATTGTCTATAATACCAGATTATACAGCTATAGAGAGATAGCAGTGTTGAAAGTTTCCGTCCTCTAAGGTTGAAAGGCTGCACAGGCGCTACACTTAGCGCCCAGTTATAAGACGCGAAAGTTTTTGCGCGGCGACCGCCCAGTTACCACGCTTTCACGTACATTAATGGCGAATCTGAATTCTATTTACTAGTCGACAACATTTAAATTCCTCAGAATAATACAACTGCACGGTGGCCGCGCGGCCGCTGCGTAGACCAAAGCAATTTCGCACGCGCGTTCATTTAAATTCAAACATAAATGCTAAATAAATAGAGCGTATTTTGCCATGAGCGTATTAGGTAGATGCATGCGGTCCGTACGCGGCTGCCACGCGGTCTCCGCGCGTCGTGAGCGCGATGAAATTCGTGTCGAATAAACGCGCCCTAATAATGTTAATTCACGTGGACAGTGCCTCAGAGTCAGAACAAAACAATAATGATAGTTATATAATTGAACACACTTTTGAAACTTTCGGTCAGATCGGAGACTACAACTGCATTTATTACACGTTGACGATCAATGGCGTTGACAATAATATTTAGGTAATTTTAATTTTTGATTCAGTCCTTGTTATCGTGGACTATATAGTAACTATAAGGAAATTGTTAACTGAAACTTATTTTTAAATTAAATTTTAAGCGTACAAATCTTAAAATTGTCTCTAAGTTTATCCTTTTTATTTTTCTCTACTTCATTAAATATATTTTAATGTTATTATCTGTTTTAATTTCCCAAATGTTTAAATTTTGCATGGAAAGCCATTAGATAAACATTTTATTGGTTAGTAACTTAGTACTTAATTAAAGAATAGAAAAGCATTATAATTTACGTAAATAATTTAATTGAAGATACTTTGCATCTATATAAATATTATCGTGTGCATTAAATTCGGAAGTGATTACTGAATATATTTTGCGTACATATAAAACAAGTGTTCACGGAGTACTTTTATGTATACAAGTGCCCTACTTTGTGGTCAACCTAAATGCACTATGCGACTGATTACTTTTTTATTTTCTTAGCGAATAATGGTGTTTGGTGGTGCTTCTTCACTTAAGCTACCAGGATCTCATAGTCAGGATGTGCGATTTCCTCTCCGGCGAAAGAGATGTAGCAGACACCATGAGACTGCTGAACTTTTCCCGTGGTGATACTACCCTCATGGCGCACGCGTCCGATGTACAGTGGTTCACCATCTTCGCTCTCTCCACCGGGAACCGCGCCTGGTGGAATGTTGGTTCCACTGACTGGTACCCAGTTGTTAGGACCTCCAACAAGCACCTGCAAGTATATAATTTATCCAGTTTTGGAATGTAGATGTAGTTACAAGTTATTTGACTTCACGTGTAGGTACAATCATCTCTAAAAAAATTTCCAGTCTCTTAAAAACATTAAAAAATACGTATTCATTCACATCGCATAGTTGGATTTGAAATACTCATAATTGAAATTAATAATATACCTGGTATTGAGGCTTGGCGTGTTCCTTTCCCCCCCAAGGTATGTAAGCGCAGCCATGTGAAGGAACGAGCTTGCCAGGGAGCATGGCTCCTTCATGCGACGCTCTAATTACGAACAGCGGCTCTCCGGAGACATCCTGCCCACCCTGGACTGCACCAGGGGGCACTTGGCCTCCTGACGCATCTACCCACACAGGGGCGCCACCAGCGCCTCCAAATGGCGCACTGCTGGGATACCCAGGTGGGTACGCGTACATTGCTGCTTGCGAAGGTGGCGGAGCGGTCGGAGGCACTGCAACGGTAAATTTGTATTTAAAATAAATATTACAGGAGTTTCAATTTTAACCAAATTCAGTGTATACTGTGAGCTCAATTATTTCACAGTAGATTTGCCCAGTATAACAACGTTAGCATACCCTTTAATAAGGTTTTCGTAAAGCACTTTATTCTTTTCTTTCTTTCTTTACGCTTTATTCTCAATGGCAAATTACGTGGATATGAAGATGGCTTTCTTTCGGTATGGAATGTTCTTATAGGTAGGTAACTAAATTAAAAATAATGTTAAATGATTCGTAATGATGTTATTTACATTAAAAGCTAAAAACACGTTATATGTGTGATGATTCGCAAATAATGAAATCAAAAGGAAATCACATATTGAGCTAACCGTAAAAGTTTAGGTACGCAATTATTATAAAAGTAATTTTTGTTGTAGCTATGTTTGCTAACTTTTGATTTAATTATTTAACGATTAAATTTATTTATTATTTTATTGATTTATGCGTGTTAACGGCCAAAGTGGAAACAAAAAGTGCACAAATAGATTAGTCACTGAATTACGATTTGCTATTCAATTATGTTGCAGTTTGTTTTTCCTTTTGTAAATTATGATAAGGATTCCATATGAATGCAATAAGTTACATAGGTACCTACATGGATATTCGGGTTTAAATAATATTACGAATACTTTCAGATAAGTATTACAACTGAAACATGACAGTATATTGGCTTTGAAACTTATACCTAGGGGAAGTGGGCCCAAAGCGAACATAGAAGGCAAAGCGGTTACTCGGTTATTTCAAATGTCATAGATTCCTTTTGTACAAGGCAGCATAGCCTACCTCCCCACTCTCTCCGGGGCCGCTTGGCACCTGTAGGAACTCGCGCTTTGGTTTGGAGAAAAATGCGACGTAAGTTCATTTCGTTTTGATTAAACCTTACTTTTATCTCTATGATTATCCTTTTTTTACATCTATCGGGCAGTGTTTTAGTCGTATTTGTTTGAAGGTATACTTAGTTACATTTAATTTTGTAGATTTGAATTTCGTTTTAAAATAAAATCGTCAAAAAGGCAAAGCGGCTCGGGTAAAGCGGTTACCTAGCCGCTATATGAATATGAAATGTATAAATAGCAAAGTTGTTTCTTGTAGATGGTGAACAATTATAAACAAAAGACAACACAGGCATCGTGAGATGAAGCGTCAATGGCGTGTGCCTTAAAAGAATTCAAAGAAAATAAGGCTTCTAAAAATTCAAAAAAGCAGCAAATCTTGTTTTATAAATGTTCTGTTGATATTTTTGTAAGAGTAGATTTTTTTCTTGATAACTAGGTAACCAAATTAAAAGTTTTTATCACATTTCGCGTTGCATTTAATGTTATCACCTTCCACAGTTATTATTTTCCGCAGAACTTTCCGTGCCGCTTTGCCCAAAACCTAGTAACCGTTTTAGGCCAGTCCTCGGGCAAAGCGTTTTTGGGTACGGTTTAGTTAATTTTCATAACTGATCTTGTTTATAAATTTGTATGAGATTGCTTTCACGTTACAAAATTAAATTAAATACAACGTCAATTAGTGTCAACATCGTAACTACATAAATTCAAATTCAAAGTTAAGGTAACCGCTTTAAGTTGCCTTCCCCTATATGTATGATGCAAGTTAAACATATAGGTAAAAATATAAAGAAAATGCATGTATGGACAGGTAAAAGCACGATACAAAATATTAATTAAGTTAAGTATAATAGTATAATACAATCATTGAAAATAATACGTAGATCAAAGACTTAGATATCGTTGATGTAGATAAAATGTACCTAACATATCACAACACCCAATTCATTCCACGCAATGAGGTCTCGAATGTCTATTAAACTCAAAAAGGTACCCTGCACTCAGCAATCGTAGCATACTGCAGAAAAACTAGCAAACACGCAATTCCTTGTATCTTGGTTAGTTTTAATTGGGTAAAGAAATCATCAACCAATTAATTTTTCATCTTTAAATCTGGATAGAATGCATTAAATTTTTAACTGCAATTTACATCAAAAGCATGTAATTGTATGTAATTTGCCAATCATGATTGTAATTAAGACTCAACATGTTTCGCGACTGGTGCCGTTGAAGTGCTTGATGCGCCAATGGCCCCTTGCACCCCAGCCAGTGCGCACTCCGAAGTGCGTAATAGGGAAGGGGTTGGGGTCCACCCACTCCATGATTACAGCTCCGTTCACACGGTCGCGCACCAGTAGTCTGCCGCAGCGCCACTCAATCAGGATTTTTTTAAACTCATTCGGATTCATGATCCCTGGTGTCGGGACTGATACCTATGGATTGTCACGATTGTTTAAAATCCGGAGCTACCTATGATCGACCCAATACCACAACGATGGACACGACAATGCTACCCTACCTTGTCAGGCTTCTGTCTGCAATACCTAATAACAGACTGAGTGTTTTCCCATCCTCCAATGATGATTTCGTACATGGGGTCGGCTTCGGCAGGGCCGCTCGTCAGACAAACATGGCAGTTGTGAGGCCCGCGAAAATCGAATTCGAGAGAGCCAGCAGCCGTAGGGCCGAACTTATATTCTAACTTGTCTTCCGTGTTGAATTCTTGCCCATCTGCACCGATAATAACTTGTGACTAATAAACTAATAAATAAATTTAAAAGAAGGGGTGAAAAAGTATGATTCGTCGCGTCGTTGTGTACCTATATATGGTGTAAGTACCAAATCTACCTTCGATTTTCCATGATCCGGTAGCACCCCAGCCGGTGCATACACCAACGAAAGCGATCGGGAAGGGCTGGTCGTCCACCCAGGAAACGAAGGGGATGGCTTCTCCTTCGCGGCCCGCCGAAATAATGCCGTTGTCCCAACGGATCCAGAAACCCCTAAATTCGCCTGCATTGAGGATTCCAGGAGTTTGGCTCTCAACTTTATCAGGCGTGGTTCTGTTTCTTCTTATTACACTCTTTGTGTTGCCCCAACCGCCGATAAAGATCTGAAAAATGGATAAAACAAGTTTTTTATCATTCTATCAATGCTTATTTCTGATGTAAATATTTTGTTGAGTGTAATGTGGCCATGTCGTACCTCATACATCGGGTCGGTTTCATGGGGTCCCATGGTAAGGGCGATGTGGGCATCGTTAGGCGCCCGCACCTTGAACTGAACCGAGCCGTTTGACACTGGATAGAACTGGTATTTGAGGTTATCCTCCGTCTGTACATCTGTAAATAAATTCATACGTCTCCATAAGCCATTACAAGAGAAAATGTCGCAAAAAACAATTTTTATACATTTTTTAATTGTTTAATAAATGCGCCACTTCCAGGTTGATAATGCGTCGTTATTATTCTGTAAGCGTCCAACGGCCAAACGTGTTTTTCCTGCGCATCCCTTTCGAAGTAGACCTCGTAACAACAAATCTAAACATAGAAGTTTTAAAACGCGTACAAATTGGGCCGCACCGCACCCACAGAGTGAATTTTCTGTCTGTGGAAATTGTCAAGAGTTTGATATACTTATTTAAAAGAATAAATAAAATGTTTCTTAATTTTTTGTTTGGCATTTCTTAGACACGTATAAATCCTCTATTTACCAGTGTTGCATATGTATATATGTATAGGTAAGTACTACAGATGTTTGCGTACAAAAGTAGCTCGATTGAATGATGTCATCATATGAAATCAATGTTGCGACGACCTCCGGGCATCATTTAGATTCTTATAGTCTACTGCGTCGGGTTGGACATTTCGAGTTCTACTTTTGTCTAAATTTGGTGCGGTAGGTATGTTTCATTAGATTACTTATACAACGTTGACAATATAAATGAACACTTCCGTCTTTAATATCTTTGTCATAATAGTAACTAACATGCGAATGAAGACGTAGTTGCTTAGTAAACAGGTAATCGAAACATAGTCGAAGGTGTGTTAACATAACGACACGTACGAACGCAAACGAACGTGTGTGTTTATAATTATAACAGAGTAGCGTATTTAAAAACGCTCTTAACGCGGTGACTGCAAGTTTTTAAAACATTTCCCTCGCATTTACGTTCATGTTTCTCAACATCAAGACAGTTCCTATGCAAAACGCGTTGAATGCTGGAGCTGAAATGTCATCGAATTTTTGTTTTTATCTTTACTTATTTATAGTTACAGTTTGATGTACAGAACAGACGATTTATGCTTTGTTGAACAATCAGTCGTACCTGCTCACCTTGTATTTTTATAGTAACACTAAGGGTCGTATTCTAGAACTCTACTCAATGCTCAAGTCAGGATTTAAGTATGGTTTAAAGCACTCGAAATCATACTCAAGTCCCTGCCATTACGGTCGTATTTCCAGTGCTTGTGTTGCCAGTGACTTGAGCATTGAGTAAAGTTCTAGAATACGACCCTAAGAGCGGTTACACACGGCAACTTTTAGTAGCGCGTCTGCAGCGAATCAGTCGCGATGCAGTCGCTAATTGTCTAACTTTACACACACGCGCGACTTTAAGCAGCGATGCAAACGCGGTGCATACGTGATGCAATCGCGTAAGTTACGCGATACACGTTTGTAATTAATGAAATTATTTATAATTTATTTCACTTTTAATTTTACAAGTAACAAAACAAAACATGTGTTTAAACGTGTACAGATTTTTCGCACTTATTGATTTAACATAAGCGACTGAAGCGATGCTCTTCCGCGTTTGTATAGATGCAGTCGCGCGTTTGTATAGATGCAGTCGCGCGTTTGTATAGATGCAGTCGCGCGTTTTCATCGATGTAGTCGCGCATTTACATCGATGCAGGTGCGCGTTTGCAACCAGTCCAAGATGTACTGAACTGCAGCAATAAAGTTGTTGAATAAAAATTCGTTATCTATCATTATAGAAGCGTTAATCGGCAATGACAATCTATTTCAAAGTACATGGTCCACTTAAAGAATTGGTAGAGTATAGTAGAATTTAGTAGCAGTAGAGTTCTCTGTGAAAGAGTTAGTCCAGGGAAGTACTGCCACCTTACATACTTCTGTTGCCAAGTAGTAATGTGAGCATTACTGCGTTTCGCTTTTGAAGGGTTAAGGGTAAATTATAGGTACATGGGACTCGTCAACTTTCTATGTCTCAGGGCGACAGGCGATTTGGTAGTGCTCCTATCTTTGTGATTTAAAGCTATGAGCGGCACTGCAATTGTTATGGAGGCTCACGACTTGTTCGCCTCATCACTTGATATTGTCAAAATAGGATACCCGCAGTTGTAACTGGGAACTACCACTGCAAAACAGCTATTGATATTTTAAAACAAGTCCAAATGGAGCTGCTTGCTTTATAGACGCCCTCAATATTGATTGTACCTAGATTGTAGAAACTAGAGATGCCACGAATATTCGGCTATTATTCGGCCGCTTTTTTGATATTCGGTATTCGACGACGGTAATATGATTAACAATGAAAAAAACACATATTATTCAAAATGTATCATGCTACTTTAAACACAACTTATTGCTTTAATACTTAAAATCAGTGACAGGTTGTGATGAATGACAACAATTTTTTCAGCATTGGTTGGTAACAAACGATTGCGCTTTTCCTCGTAAAAAATTCCTGCTTCTGAAAATAGCCTCTCACTATAAACACTACTGCCACGAGACGATAGATAAATCTTAGCAAATTTTGACAGTCTTTGATACTGCTTTGCGTTTGCTGACCACCACTTTTAAAGATCTGCCGTCCGATCTAGGCGAACAGTTTGAAATCAAAATCAATCGAATGTGCAATAGAACTTTCCCCCACATCCTCATCATTTTGCGTATCATCTGTAGCGACTTCTTCAAAACAGGTCCAGAAACTCATGTCATGTATTGTTCTACCTTTTTATCATTTTTCAACAAACCGTTACCTTCCCACCTCCATTACCACACGCAGCGCAATGAGACAGGTCGCGCGTGAACTTTCGGCAGCCGAATATTCGGCGCATCGGCTGACAGCGTGGCCGAATATTCGGTATTCGGCCAAATCACAATTCGTGGCATCTCTAGTAAAACATCACCTATTTCCAATTGGCTCCTCTCTATAGCATATTAAATAGCAGTAGGTAATATCTGCTCACGTTTGATATGGCTAAGTGAATTATAATTCACTAGTGATAGTCATTGAATTCGTTAAAGAACAGTGCCAGGCTCTTCTACATTGACCTACTGCAGTCTAGAGCACATGTTAAGGTTGGATTTTATCGTAAGCGCCATAGAGTTGAATTTAAATCTTAAGTATCAAATTCGACCTTGACCTATATAAACTATATATACTGACATGAATGAAATTACAATTTTTATGAGTTACGTACGGATTTATGTCCTTACATGTATGCTGCCGTCCTTATCATAAACAACGTAACACGGCTGGAATCTGCGAGAACGAGATCTATAACACCTATTATGTGGTTTTTATGTCTTACTTAGTTTCAGGTTTATTGTTAAGCAAAATCTGCGTAGGTAATTAACATTTTTCAATGATAAAAAAAGAATTAGGTGCCAATATCTCGAAAGTTCCAAAATCCAAATGCGTTGTTTAAGTCAAGGACGGCAATACTAGCATATTCATTGAGCGTTACAATTATTGTTTGTTTGGGATCAAAACAGATTTATATCTAATTCCATTACAAGCAACACAAAAATATGGTTTGTTGTAGTGATAGGAAGGTTCTGTTTAGAAGTTTCAAGTAAATTACAAACAACTCGGTATGTATACCCTATTTAAAATGGAATTCTTTTTATTTAGTTATTTAAATGAAAACGCAGCCCTAGGTAAACCTAAAATAACGATGATCTCATGTCTCACTCACAGTACAATGCCACATAGACTATTAAAAACTACAAATAATTCAAGTTTCTGATACCTATTCGAAATACTCGATGGGAATTTACATCGATAAAAATAGGTCATTATCTCGCATAATGTAAATTTTATTATGCAAATCAATTAACGCGTACTATGTGATAACATTTACAACATAAGATTTATGGTATGAGAAAAACACGTATTGATTATATGGAATTTCGTTTCAAGCTCCACCACACCCAATCTTGGCCTTGCTCCAAAAATTCGCCGGTAGGACGCTAGTTCTGTGTATTTGCGGCACCGGCTTGTCAAAAAAACTGCTTAGTTCTTAGTGTTCAAAGAATGGGTATGCTATTGCAATACCATCATTCTTACTATTTTAGCGCACTGCTTATTCAAGATCCGGCTGCTTTATGTAAACAACAAAACAGTATGAACAACGTTGTAGGCACTCACCCATGACGTTAGCCATGTTTGAAAATTCCAAACTTTTTCACGTCTATATGGGACGTTGGATCTATCCAAATGCTATATCGAAACTAACTGCGGCTGCCTGCCGAAGCGTTCCTACTCACGTCTTGCGGCCTCGACACACCGACGCGACGACGCCCGCTCTGCGCACCGATGATGTCATGTTATTTATGTTAGACGAATTAAGATTTTTAACTATTTATCTCCAAACTACATTCGAATCAAAGTACCCTGTGTGTCGATCTTCCACATCAATTACTTTAGTCGTCCTTTTTCGAAATCCAGGGCGATTAGTTTACCTTCTATGAGATTTTCAAAAATGCCATTTTAGAAATGCGCCTATTATGTTTTTAAAGGAAATAATTCTCTTTGGACGTTAACGTTAAATTTTTTTGTTTGGGCGACTCAGTTTTAACCTTGATAAAGTTTGGGCAAGGTCATGGCGTATCGTTTTAAGCTGTTGTGTACCTAATTGATGACAATGTGCATATGTTTAGTTAGTATAGTTGAGTTAAAGACATCTTAACGATGTTAATTAGCAGGTAACGAGGTACTACTATTATTATACACTCCGCGTCAAAGGTTAATCGCAGGTCGTTCAAGACCTATGTGTAGGTAAAACACGAATACTGTACCTACATAAATTTGACAGAATCCGAACAAAAAATAATCTAATTTAATGTATTGTTAGGGTCGGAAACCAGGTCGGAATTATTATTATTTAATAGGTAGGTAGTTATAGTATAGAATACAAACGTTGAATCGAGTGACATTCGTGACTTTACAATTTACTAAAAAATGTTAGGTACGTCGATCTTTAAGATTTAGAGAAGAGAAGCAATTAGATAAAATTAAGGAAACACCGTGAAAATTGTATAACTGCGTCTAAATAAGTTATCATGCGCTACTATGGCGCAGAGATGACGACACGACCTCGATTAATTACGAAAGAATGATAGGTAACCTGCTCTTCCTGACTGATTCACATCCTACTGATTTTACTCGTTGACATTAGCGCAACTACGAAAGTTCCTTCGTGGTAGTGATGTCACATTTTAATTCATACCTTATTTTAGTTATGACGTTATACCATAGTCATTAAAAATAAATGACGAGGTTTTAAGGTATGTAAAACGCGAATGATGGAATCACACTTCGCCCTCAACTTAGCTTCCTTTAGAACTTTGTTTTTAGTGCTCCTGTCCTATATAACAATTGTTTTTTTACCTTATTCATTGATAAAATATGTATTCTTTGCAGCAACAAGTAAATAAATAGTATGACAGATACTTGTGTACTTGTTTTTTTTATCTAGTTAAACTTGTTGTTATCTGTATCATCAATTTCAGACTTCTCCCTCTATCTACATCAAAACTTTACATCGAAACGGAGCCTTTACAGGTCCCATGGCTACAGCTGATTGACCATGACCATGACGTGACCATGGGACCTGCAAAGGACCCGCTACATTTGGTCTGTTTGAAAAAACAAATATACGCTATTTAAATCCGAAAAAAAATATTTCATTTCCTATGTGTAACAAATGCGAAAAACCTGAGGACTCGATATTTACGTCAGATATTTATTATTAAGTAGGTGGGTACCATTAAAACTGCAACATTTTACCAATTTTGCTATGAAAAATATTATTGAGTCTGGCAAGTTATGCCTGTGATTGTGCCCTACACTTTAATGCAGAACACAGCACTGCTGCTTTGTGATACAGTTAGGTAGGACGGTGGTAGTGTCGTAGAATTAGTACAATATTATATTATTTACTCCGTGCTTAGCGAAAACGTTTATTCCTTGTAGCGACATCTATTTGTTCCTTTTAGTAACAATACAGCGCCATCTCTGCAAAATCGACCATAATGTGTTTTGTACTATATGCCCGGCATTACGTTATTTACACTGTTTCAGGCACCAAAAAGTTCCAAAAGCATATTCTAGATGGCTCTTCCATTTTAAAATTTGTTCTGCGGTTACTTAAGTTATAAATTGGGAAATGTTACCACGAAATTATGTGTAGTCGGTATTGTCTACTGTAGCTCTAAACTCCACACTTGTCGTGGTATAACCTCAGTACCTATATGTTTGGCAGTAAAATGATGCGATTGTTAAGAATCCATAAACTTCGTTCACTTCTCCGTAGAATAATACTTTTATTGTTAGCATAGTTTGCATTGCCTATTGTTTACTTTAAAAAAGTTGTGATATACATATCATTCAGCAAACATAAATTTGACGCGAAATCATGAGTTTCACGTAATCATATTAAATTCAAGGTAATTCTAATTTTTTTAATATTGTATATTATGCTCTACTTTACAACTTTACTGTTATAGGGTTTTTATCTGATCGTTCCTAATAACAAAGGGTGCTAAATAATAATAATAATTTCTATTGTCGACAGATCAATAGTTGGGGCGCTATTGTACCGAGATGGCACGGGGTGGAACACCCCTGCACCCCTGCGCCGGAGCAATGCCCACGCTGACAACGGCTAAAGATTTAAAGAGAGTATGTTTTAAGTTTTTGAATACACGTAGATATAGTTATCATTTTAGAAATTGTTTATATCTTGCTAGCATTGTCACCGCAATATTATGCTATAGGCACAGATGTTGCATCGTTTATACTCAAAGAGATTCTATGATCTATCAATTAAAAAATTAAAATTAAAAATTAGTTTACTTGACACGCAATAGTGTACAAAAAAGTGCAAATGAATAGATACACACCATGTCAAATGGGTCTATGATTCACATTGCATTGGCTCGTATAATTATATTGCCATTGGAACACATAAAAAATATTATTAAACCCACACATACGCGTCAAAAAAACGCTAATTATTAAAATACAAAACATAATTATTATTGTTAATATAATATATTATAATATTAATAAAATAATAATATAATTAAAAATAAATTAAAATTGGAAGTAGTTAAACAAAAAGGATCCAATGCACATCCAGTCACTTTCGAGACATGGCAGGCAGTTTGAAGTTTAAAAATAGATCTCACTTTTGTTTTATTTTTAAAACTTATAATATCATGTAACTCCAGAGACATTTATTTATGTTTATATGTTGGATTTTTTTGCTGATCTAAGAGGTTAGACTTTAAGACCGTTTGATACATATACCTCATTTTTTCATAATTTTGTTTATTGGATCCTTTTTGCTTTACTACGTCCAATTATGAGAAACCTGCATCCCAGCATTGTTTGTCAAATAAGCATTCTTCGCATATACGTTTGTATGTCCGTAACGATAGAGACGTTGGCCCTCTTGCAAGTGGAGGTAGGTAATTCCATATTATAAGTGAGGCGTATATGAAGCGAACCCGGGCGACAGTCAGGCTTCCTTAATCTTGAGAATACATAGTAGCATGCATTTGATTGTTGTATTTTCAGTACATAATGTTGACTTTTTATAATTCCTAATCATTTCATGGTCAGTACTTAAAGTAAATAGTAGCGCAATCAGTAGGTACTTTTCTTGCCGTAGTGCTTATATTGATTCAATACATAATGTTCAATGTATGTGAATCATTGAATTTTGCCAGTACGTTATTGATACTTCTTTATGAAAAAGCAGTAGATGGCAATTACACAGAAAGCACTTGGAAATCGCACTTAAACATCCGTAGTTGGTTTTTTGAGATCCATGTAGTGAAACGAGGTACCCTGTATTATCATATATTTTATATTTAATTTATCATATATTTAATTTCACGATAAACACTGTTACAGGCCATGTTCGGATTAAATATTGTTTTAAGGATTTTTTTAATGCTCGTATTTTTTAAATTATATCTATAAACTGCGTTGAAGTACGAGCACATAAGTGCTCATAGTACGAGATTTAAAATTCACAGCATGTCTTTTATAAGAATGTATAATTATAACTTAAACTGCCTCCGTGGCCGAACGGTTACCATTCTGGACTGCCACGCAGAGGTCCCGGATTCGATTCCCGGGCCGGGACGAATATTTGTATTTTTATATAAATGTAGGCACATATATTTATGTCTCGTGAGTTTACACCCAAATTCACTATGTCCATGTGTGTGTGTCCATGGTACCCGCGATACAGGGTTTCCCCAGTGCGGGGCTATGACTGTTGACGCGTTATTATATCAGTAAAATACCACGTTCAAACTATAGGTATCTATGTTTCTTAATACTGATGAGTGCAAAAAATATTTATATAAGCCTAAATATATAATTTATAAATTACAGAATAAGAACACTCGGAAGAACCATACAGATATCAAAATACATTATCTGTTATAACAGTTTATATCTTTATTTCCTTGAATGAAATTGGCAGTTCAAGCAATGATTTCATAGGTATTTCCGGATAGGTCAGTGTTTTCACTAGTTCCCAAATATCACAGGGGATAAATATGAATAGGTTATCGTCAGTGTGATAAGTATATATGTGTTACCTATATCTGTCGTTGTGTGTATGCAATGACTGCTTTGAATAAAACATGTCTATTGTGATTTTAAAACAAATATAAACTAAGTATAGTTTGTGCTGACGAAATTGTATCAAAAAATCTAGCCATCTGCGTACCCCACGGGTCGGGCGTCAGGCGCAGCTGTCGGTCGCATGCGCACCTCAACAATAGCCCGCGATCAATGAACCCACTAACCCCGGGACTACCCTCTATAGGGTGAAATATTCCTGCCAATCTCCGTGTTTTATTGGGTTACTGACATTGACTTTTTTTGTGATCTATTTTTCTCAAACAACGAGTGGTGTTAACAGTACACATTATGTAATTAATTAACTAAATTAATACGAATTTTATGCCTGATTTACAGAACAATATTTTTTGGATTTTTACTAGCTGGTGCCCGCGGCTTCATCTGCGTAGAATAAGTACTTCTCGAGTTGCCTACTTTACTATATTAATTTTCATAGTTTTATTAGTTCTCCCATACAAACTTTCTTCCCCTATTTCACACCCCTTTAAATTTATTTTTGTGATAAATGGTAGGCTATGTCCTTCTCCTAGGTTCCATCTATTTTTGTACAAAAATCATCAATATTGGTTCAGTAGTTCAGACGTGAAAACGTAACAGACAGAATTACTTACGCATTTGTAATATTAAACTTAGATTAGGTTAGACGGCGATATATTTAAACAAGTGAAAAATAAATGATAGTTGAAACCTGAGTATGGTTAAGTATATACTTATTTTTGCTACATCCCTAATTTACTCTACCAAAGTATTGAAAAAACTTTTCGGGTTTTTCTAAAAACTATTAAATTTGATCACCCTGCATTTAACCTCTAGATCAGGCAGAGAATCGTTTTTGACTGCATTTGGTATAAAAAGTGTAATTGTCAGCGCATTTTTAATTGCATAAATCTTGCGTCCTTATATTTTAAACGTGCGTTTGAAAATTTTTAAATTTTTAAAAGCAATGATGCTTGCATACCTTTTAGCTTCGCAATCCAAGCAATCTGCAACAAGCGGTGTATATTATACAACGCGTTGATTTATTTTCATTGGAATGGTTTTCATTGTACGCGATGGCTTTATACTTAAGAAAACGGCAGAACAGCTGAATTTTTTTCGATCCTTATAATGAGTAAATATTTTTAGTTCACATTAAATAAATGAACAAGATTGGAAAAAATCTTTACGAAAATTTTATTGCTGCGTATCAAGCAGGTAATTGCACAATTGTATAATTTATTTAACCATGACGGCCAAACTGTGATTCTAGAGCACACGCTGCTTTGCCTATCGTGTAGACACAGTACAATCTTTAGTGGTAGTTTACAACACAAGTGTACAAATACGGAGCATTGTGTCGTCAAGGAGCGGGCAGTACAGCGGACGTAGTAGTAGAGGAAACGATTGGTTCCACACAATATTTCGCGCAAGAACAATGCGTTTCCCACAGTTCGCTCGCGCTCCTTCCTGTCTCTACCGCCCTCCTGTCTTGCGCGTGCGATATCCGATATGGAAACATACATTGGTTTTTAGTTTTGTTAAGGAATCGTTTGTGTGCAAAACTCTAACCAAAACCTCGTAACATTTGATATAGCTTGAGAAATGTCTATTGTAATCTTTTCAGTAATAAAAACACATATATGTTTTGTTATAAATAAATGTCTAAGTATGTACGTACTTACGTACACACATGTTACTTAAGTATTTAATAAGAGTCACCTGCGTAGCTTTTCCTGCAGTCTTCATTGGATAGGTAAGTAACACCCAACCTACGCTTACTTTTCATTAAGTTACATTGATATGATCAGATTTTATTTTTATTATTACGTAATAAAGACCAAAATAAGGCAACGGATAATGTTTTAAAAGTATAGGTACTGTATATATGTAGAGTTAGTAGCAGGAGACTAAATATTATTCTTAAGGGAGAAAGAAATAAAATGACACAGGACATTCACAATTTACTACTTCGGACCAACTTATGGTGATAACGAGGCATATCATTACAGTGGAGGGTAGCCGGCAGACGGCGGCGACGGGCGGCAGGCAGTAGGGCACGCCACGCATGTGGCCCGGGGCCGGTGCCGCGACGCATCTGGTGACGAGGGGGGTGCGGCGGGGGCTAAAATTAGTACCGGAGCGCCACGTGCGCCTCGAACGAGCATCAGTCCGCGCTCAACCATCACGACGAACGCTCGCTCCGCACATCCCAGTGTTTACTGTAAACTTACCGGGCGAACTTCAGGTTGAGACCGCTCCACCGGCGTCAGTGACAGTGTTTGCAGAGTGTAAAGGTGACCGGCGCAACGGAGACGGTGCAAGGCATGCTGATGGCGGGCGCTCTGCCGGCTGAGCCCGAGGGGCTGCTGGCGCTGGGCGCGCTGCCTGGTCAGAAGGACACCACCTGGACCAAACTGTTCGTCGGAGGGCTACCCTATCACACCACCGACAAAAGCTTACGGGAACACTTCGCAGTCTATGGGGACATAGAAGAAGCAGTCGTCATAACAGACAGGCAGACCAGCAAGAGCAGAGGATATGGATTTGTAAGAATTATTTGACGTGTTTATTACATTGAGTGGTTTGCACAGGTTATTACTTCTAATTAATCGCCTCAAACATTTTTATGTATTCTTACATTTGTAAGCAAATTTGAATACAGTGACACGTAAATCGTGCGCAGGCGACCCGTGGTGCTGAAACGGCGGCGGTATCGCACGGTAGCGTTATCGCTCCGCGCACCGCTACCTACCGATATAGGTACCTACCATAGAACTACATACACTAGTTTATATCGCGAATTTACATCAAACACGGAAGTTGTGCCCGCAATACATAAGGTGTTAGTAAACGCCTTAAAAATGGAAACCTCGAAACTTTATATATATGTACTTTTGCCCTAAACTAGTATGTGCTTTCTCAAATTAGATGTAATGTACATAAATTGTTAATTATGACTTGTTTGTTGGTATCATTGACCTGCCAGGTCAATGGTTGGAATGCTTATTTGACCGATTCATACATTTTTTGGTACAATCGAAATACTAAATTTCAGCAAGAGTAATTGCATGGAAAATGCATTAGCCCCCATGGTAAATTTCGTTGACATAGACGCAGTAGGTACTTAGTTATTGCTTCTATACCGATTAGATAAGATTTTTACGATCAATCTGATTTGAACGCTTTTTCTTTACAAAAAACATTTGTCGTTGGATTTGTAAGCTGCAAAACCGGATTTTATGTAATAAAGTCTGGCGCTTTTCGTATGACGAGAGTGCTGCTCGTGGGAAATGAATCACAACCCCTCGTTTGGCAGGGGTCGAAGCTGGGGGAGGAACATGTCCCTTGCACCCTTCCCGTGACATCCAAAGGCTATAATGATCGCGAACGTTCAAACATTCTGCAAGTGAATCCTATTACGAAGTATATTTTCTATAGATAAGTACACATTGTTCAGTCAAAAACAATGCAAGGAAAGTGTTGTTTCCATATAGTTTCAATTTCGTCATAGGTATGCAAAGTAACATTTGAGTACACTCGAATTAGTTTAGCAGCAAAATTGAAATATTCACAGTACCTACGCATGTTTCGCCTTGACGAATTGCAACTTGTTGAATTAGTAGTTCTTTTGACTTCAATTTAATTTCATTTTAATTCATTAAATGTAAATAAGTAGGTATTTAAAGAAAAAAAAATGTGTTTTATTATTCTGAAATTATTCACGAATCTGTCGCTGCATGTCGTGTTTTCCAGCTGCAGTTGCTAACTATACGTTTTAACCTTACCAGCGAATTAACTAGCTAAGTCAGAACGTGCTGAAGCAAGTCCTAGAAACAAAAGACTGTCATTTGACACCCTGCGGGCATGTCTCCCGGAGCGGTAACAAAAGTCCTCTCTGTTGACAGTAGATGCATTTAGAATAGGTACCCATTAAGTCTAATTATTTAATAATTATTGTGTTACAATTTAAAGTCTATAAAATTGCACTCTTAGTTGAACATTTTGTGTTTCGTGTAGGTACAGTCGTTTAAGGGTAGCCCACCTTACCAATTACTATATTTTTGACAAAGTAATTGTCCAAAATTTATAGCATTAAATAAAGAAAGAAAAGTTTACCACTTCAACAAAATTCTCGGAAAATACCTTTATGAATCTCCAAGGTAATCCACATTATAAGTACGAGTGGGCATTGTTATCATTAGGTATTATATCATTGTGTTTATTTAACACTCTCGAAAATGGGTACTATATAAAAGTAGGTAGCTGAATAAGGCGTGGCAAAAACGTGCGATATAGCCTTCGGGCTGGCTCTGACAGAGAACCGCCTCTACGCGCTACGACGGCGTAGCATCATAAATAGTGATAGTAATATTTTGTGTTACTAAAGAAAATACTGGCGATATTTTGGTTCACAGCATTTATACATCTGACAAAATTCGTTTATTCGTTTGGGTGAAACAGAATCGATGCACCACGTATTGTGTTGCGTATGATTTAAAATAGCTATAATTTGTATTACATTAATATCAGCCTTCATAATAATGTTCGAACACGAAAAAGAAATATTTTATAAAAATTAATAGACGGCCAAAATAGACTACACTAAAAATTTTTAAATGTAACTGTTTTAATCATACATTACAAATATGTTATCAAGTCAGTGAAGTCAGTGTTAAGCAATACACTGGAATACTTTCTTTTTCTTTTTTTCCGGATTTTTAACTGAAATGTTAAATATCGAGTTCTTAGGTTTTCGCGATGGTTACGCATAGAAAATGCAACTGTTTTTCCGAATTTAAATCGCGTGTATTTGTTTTTTAAACAAACCGACGTTTCGGGCCCTTTACAGGTCCCATAGTCACGGTTGACGAAACGTCGGTTTGTTTGAAAAAACGAATATACGCGATTTAAATCCGGAAAAACAGTTTCATTTCCTATGAGATGTTGAACTTTCTATAGGAGAATAATATCCCAAATTAATGTGTTACCTTATCTTTCTACAAATACATAATACTCGTACATATAAATTACATCAGTAGACTCTTTATAACAGTTTTTTTAAAGCGAACTTCACATCTAGTTGCAAATGCCTATATTTACCCATCTATTACTTTGTACAGTAGAATGATAACATTTTTATCTTTAGTCTTTAACTTTAAACATTAGTATGATTCCCTAAAATTATGTGTTACGTACTATATATACTATACCTTTCTAGAAATACACAACGTTATGTGGATTACACCAGATAAATCTTTTTTTAAATAAACTTCACTTATTTACTTATTTATCTATCATTCTTAATGCACAAAGTAGTACAGCAGAATAATAACATAGTGTATTCTATGTATACTAAAACCTGCCTAGAAATATTTACATAAAGAAATTATAATACAATATTAAAATTTATGAGTAGAAAGTTTGTAAGTAAACAATTTCATTGAAGGGCCCTCTGGGGTATCATGCACAAAAGTGTGGCAACATTTTCCCTTTCAATTGCTAAACTTATTCTTTTGCAAAAATAACTGATAGTCTTGTGGTCACCGGAGGCTTCTACGAGGCGATCCGACAGCCCGTTCGCTAGAAATTTCGCCTATGGCCCTCATAGTTTACATTAAATTACAGTTATTATTAAATTATAAAAAAAGTTTGTGGAATTATATCTATTTGCCAAGTGAAATTGGTTAACGGAAAGTGGGGGAAATCCAATCAACTGGATTCATCCCTTAGAGGTGGAATATTTCGTTCAATTTTGCATGGAATCACTACTGAAGTAAACCCTTTCCAACGATGATCTCAATTCAGAGCACTAAAAAACCGACATCAAAAGTACGTGGAATTACATATAATTACCATGTTTTATTGAAATCGGTTACCGGAAAGTGCGCTTACCCGGATTCATCTCCTAGTTCGCCACAATAGGAGACTTGACAGAGGAGATAATAAAAATCGGTTCTCACTACTCAAAGTATATTGAGAGAAAAACACCTTGAATTGGAGAATAGCAAAATCAACCATTAATATAATTGCTCATTATAATAAAATTTAGGCGCTATTTATAAAAATGAATCTTCATGCGTGAACAGCCACCCTTAGAGGTGAATGATTTTCTTCAAAATTAAATGGGACCACTATGGAGATACCCCCTTTCCAACAAAAAAAGAATCATGAAAATCGGGTCACAAATACCGGAGTTATCACGTAACATATATACAAAAAAACAGTCGAATTGAGAACTTCCTCCTTTTTTGAAGTCGGTTAAAAACATAATCATCGAAATTGGTTCACAAATGCCAAAGTTGCTTTGTCGGGTTAGTGAACTCCGTCTAATAATCTGCTTAATACAAGTTTACCTACCCAATCCAGAAAAAAATGTACGATGTAGGTACATACAATTCAAAGTATACAGTGTTTTAAATGTCGATAAAAGTTCATAAAGAACACTTTCGTTTTATCTAATAATAAACAAACCGTTTCTTTTCTTTGTGGTAATAGTTTAACATTCAGAATAACCAGATTAAGAGAAGCTCGAGTAGTGTGGTAATCCAGTAAACCAACTTAGTCATTTGAACACTTCAAAAGCTATCTTGTCATCATATTTTCATTTACATATTAACTTTTATGTAGGCTTCATATTAGGTTTGTTCGTAGTATAAGGGTTGAAACCATAAGGTTGAAACTTACTTATCACTTACACGTCAATTGTATAAAGAGTATTGCTCATACAATAATTATTTAATATTGATGATATAAAACAACATATATCTAGCAAATACGTAATGCTGAGGCCTATTAACTACTGGGGTGCAACTCTAAAAGAGATACATAATTATCGTCTGCTAAACTCGTAAACCTCGTACATCCACCTATGTGAACTTTTGAGTAGGTACAAAAAACAAAGTTACTAAAATTAATTTTATTATTCTATTTGATTTTCAGTTCGGGACTTAATCATGTATAAAACATATTTTAATTACCTCGACGTTTTATACATTTAAATCCAGAACTAGAAATCAAATATGTGTGAAAATCATGAAAGTTTAAATCAAAGAATTATATTACAATCTATGATTATACCTTTCTTTTATAACTAAGAAAGGGTCTAGAAATTATATTTTAAGCTATAGTTTCCCGATATTGCGCTGGAAGTTTTTTACTCTTCCTTCAAAAAAACGGAATTACAAAGTTAGTCCACGATATTATATTTCACCATTCATTCCGTTGTACGGCTCTCGGCATGGTTCTTCATGATACACTCCACTATGCCAAAGACTAACGTAGATAGCACAGTAGCGTTGTCAAACAGAAACTGTTTCCGCGGGGGTGTCACGACCTCCAGAAATGAGGAATACGACGCGAGGAGGAGGAGATTTATTTTCCGTAGCTCATCGAAGGGCGCACGCACAAATACGATTACTTAAAAGTACTTTAATTTATATTCAGTGTTCACTAGAGTTGTCAGTTAAACAACAAGTCAAAGTACGTAGATTCACACTGCTCACAATTTCTCATTTTCTGGATATCAATTCATGCGAAATCGTCTTGTATTATCGCCTACAAATACATTGGGCGCGGGCAGTTACATCGGTGTTCAAGAAGTTCTGAGTTCTAATTCTAGAAGTCTAATTCATACCTAAGTGTCTAACGTCGAGTACACATTATAGTTTGTATTTACGTGTTTACTTACGTGCTTACTATTTATTAGAGTAACCTTTGTTACCTTATATTGGTTTCACCATTATAACATCAAATTACATGCAGTTTATTTATCGTTATTTTATCGATAACATTGTAGGTGCAAGTAGATAAAATATTGTTTTAGTATTTACTTATTAATACGAGTGAATATTTTCCAAAATTCTACAAAACATATAAACGACTTAACTTAACAATGAACGCAGTAAATTGCAAGCCACGCTTGATTTATGTTGGTAGTGACACTATTGCATATGACGCTCCACGGGCCCTTTTGTTTGAAGACAAAAGTTCAGGTTTACTGCGACGATTCCACCGGTACCTATAAAATAAACAAACTGCTTGACCGACTTATTCAACACAAATATTGAAAGCCCGTTCAATCGATATTGAGTCGATAGTTGCTATCGCATGCCATAGCTAACATAATTTTAACGCTTGCCCACGACATTACATTTTTATTCTGATTGAATATCGATTTCGCTAGCTAAACCACATACACTAAACGGTTAATTAAAGTGTGATGTTGGTCCAGTAGAAACTTATAAAATTTACACATACAATTCAATTAAATTCTACAATACATTTAATGTTGACATATTTTTAAGGCGATTTTTTTTTAAGTGACCGTCAACATATGAATGTGTGGTGAATAAAAGTTTTATGGTAATGGCGAATAATGTAATATTGTGGATGGTTTATTGTGTGTTTTCCTTATTTCAACTATAAAGTAAAAGAAGCTAGAAGCAATAAACAATATCTTCTAAAAATACGTATTGTGTGCCTTCATCAATGTGTACTCGTAATACCGCGGTCGCCTTTATTTCTAAAACAATTTATCAAGTTATTATCCTTTCCTCATAGTACTATCTTTTTCATGAATTCAAATATAGATTGTATTAAAAAACAGAAGCACTGACGATTTTAATTTCAGGAACGTTTTTATCGCTAGATACAGGTAGTATCTGGCTGTTACGTTTTGTTTAATTTCGTCGTGTGTTGAGAACTCTGTCTGTACTATATTATATGTGTAGACCAAACAAAGTTGACCTCTAACTGCTGGTATTATTTCTTGTAAATCGTCTTATTATGCAGGCCGAGTGGGGGGTATGGGAGGATGTTTAATAATGGTTGTGTTGACAGTGGAAACGGTGAGGTGGCGACCCGAGGTTCACGAATGCATTACAATAGGTAATGCGGAGCCGATGTCGACATTCAACGTACGATTTTTATGCGCACCTATTTGTTTTCAATAAAACATGTTTCTTTCTTCAACGTGTTTTTTTATTATATTTTTCAATCTAGAATATAAAACTTTATTCTAATCATGGTATATATTATCCGTTAAAAATACAATACTGAATGTATGTAATCTCTGTGCCAACATCAAACATAAACGTACAAAATAACTATTGAATTCTCAAGCGTGTGAATTTATTGGACTATATTATGTCAATATTATTGATAAATGATAATCAAATCAAATCTTGGATTTAATTCTTATTGTAGCTGGAGAGCAGTGAAAATTCACATAACACACATCTCTGAACAATATAAGTTACATTTGAAAACATAGTTTTTTTTTCAAAATACTAACTTCTAGCAAAAATTACACAAAGGCATTTAGTAAAAGCAACGTGAAAATTGGCTTTCAATATAATAGCTACTATGCCTGTATCATTGAACATATTGAAACAAAACAAAAGAAGGATTATTGACCACCAGTGTCTTTAAACTCGAGCGGTTTCTTGTTCGTAAGGACAAGCCAGACTGTCGTTAAGGACTTGTTATGATATGCTATATTTGGTCATCTCAAAGACATAATTACATTGAGCTTTTGGAAACAATTTAATTTAAAAATTCTTCAAATGGATCTTGCACAAAACGATTGAAAAATAATGGTTCTTACTCATAGATATCTCACTGTCTGGTACAGAACTTTTCATCAGAGAAAATATTGCTAGCACCAGCTAGTGAATTTTGAGAGAGATTCCTCAACCTGCGACATGTTCTAATGGCAAATATTTCGCCAACAGGTGATAATGGGTGACCGAGCGGCGGCGGAAAGAGCATGCAAAGACCCTAACCCCATCATCGATGGCAGAAAAGCGAACGTCAATTTAGCAATCTTAGGGGCTAAACCTAGAGGAAATCTCGCGCCTGGTATGTACACATTGATTTTAGTTCATAGATGCAATTAAAAAATTACCAAAATATTTAACATTTATTAACATGTCGATAAATATAGAATCTATTGCGGAAACATTATCTGTATTCTAAAATTTGCGCTTCCACATTTTTAAAAACAAAAAGAATTGTATTATATTTTGTTGGTCTCAATCTCTCATAATTTGAAAAATATAAAATAAAGGTCTTAGCACTGAAACCCATCATGTCTCCAAACAGCATTTGTTAAGTGTGTATTCTAAGAACAAGTTTTTGTCCAAATTTGTTTTTAATTAATAATATTTGTTAATTTGTATGGGTGTACATATAAGCGTTGTAAGAGACAGGAGCCTAAACTATGAAAGTCCTGAGATCTCAATCTTAGGATAACAAGAAAATTTCTTCCAAAGATAACGATAAACTTCTAAAAAGGCTCTCTAAACTTGTTGTTCTTAAAGTTGTTGTATATCTTTTTTATTTGTAACGTTTATAAAGACACAACTGATGATGTGTATGCTTATCAATATCAGTTTGATAGGAAATTGGTTTCGATAAGCCCGCTACACCTCCTTACTTAAAGTACTTAATTATTGTAATGTAATTTATATCTGAAAAGACAGAGTACAAAGTTAAAAATAACGTGGAATAACAAATTCTCGTCCGCTAGTCATAATTTTAAAAATATGCTTGAAATAAACTAAACGACGCATCTTGACGTAAAATGCCCTCTACATTACAGTGCGAAGAAAAAATCTTACAGCAGTTCGTAAGAACTCTGAAGTGGTTGAAAACAAATGTAAAATATAAAGAAACAAAAGTTTTTTACAATATTCTAAATAAACTACTTATATGTATATATACTAAGAACTCAAAAGAGTTGTACGAGTAAAATTATTACGAATTTCCTGCGAGACTGTCTGAGCAATTAATTTTCAGACCTTTCCGTAACTTCAAACTTTTAAAGTTTAAAGGTTTAACATGATAATTTGAAAGAACTACTTAGTTCTTTCAAATTATGCACGATGCCATTGATGTATAATTTAAAAGAACTAAGTACCGCGATGCCGTTGATGTCTTTTGTTCGGCAAACAGCAAAGACGGGTTTCCAGCTCACATTTATATTATTGTGATGGTTACGTCTGTCATGTTGAATTTTTGGTGACATCATAGAAGCCTGAACATTTGTACAAACAAGAAATATTATTTATCGTAATGGGGAGACATTTAAGCTTCACCTATAATTATACTTCTGTAATATTTAAATAAGTTTTTTAACCAAATTCAAAAAGGAAGAAGTTCTGAATTCGATAGTACTTTTTGTGTGTATGTTACGCGATTACCCCGACATTTGTGAACCGATTTCGATGATTCTTTTTTGTTGGAAATTAGTTTAGAATTAGAGGATGGCAAATTAGGGGATGAATCCGGATTTCACCAACTTTTCGTTAACCGATTTCAATAAAGCTTGGCGAATAAGTGTACCTAATGCCTCAAACTTTTGAAGCCGGTTTTTTAATAAAAACGTTATAAAGGGAATTAAACTATTTTTCGGATTTAATCCGCGTATATTTGTTTTTCAAACAAACCAACGTTTCGGACTCTTTACAGGACCCATGATCACGGTTGACTAAGGTTGGTGAAAAATTAATGAAAACCACCTACCTATTTTTTCACTATAGTTACAAAAGTTATTAATTAAATACCTTACTTTTAATTTTACAAAGAAACATTCCAATTTACGCTACATTATGTTGGTCTGTTTGAAAAAATAAATATACGCGATTTAAATTCAAAAAATTGTTTCATTACCTATGTGTAACAATCGCGAAAAGTTAAGAACTCGAAAAAAGTTATAATTATATGTAGATTATTATTCAATGGATTTAGTTTGAAGCAAACCTTACCCATAAATATTGTTTTAAAAACAGTATCTACCACAGAAATCTAAATAAGTAAATAGGCAAGTAACTATCATGCGTAGCCATGCTGCGGGGGCAGGTTTAGATTAATATTTATGTGGTTTGTGATTAATAAGTATTATTTTTATAAAATTTTTAATAATAAATAGAATAAGATTGCATGTTAATGCAACATTTCTTATTGCGTCTCGCTTGCTCCTATAGTAGACGGCCGTCAAAGGGCGCAAAAATTCAAAAAGGTCACGTGCACTGCACCTATTTACTCAGAACATATTGTATACAACATATTACATGAATGCAATATGTTACGTAAGCTCGTCAAGGACCCCCGGCGTTAATTACACAGATCCCTTAGGTAGTCCGCGGGACACAAGTTAAGAAACCCTGCTCTATATCTATGGCGACAAAAAATACTAATATCCATGTGGGCATTGTACAACACGAAGCGACGACGTCAGTAGATAGTTTGCTCTGTGGGAGTCAGTAACATGTGATCGTTTATTAAAAATGCTATAACTGAAATATGTAATTTAAGTTCGCTTCGTAATTTATGAAAATGTACCATTGAATTTAATTTACGGATAATTTAACGGATTCAGTTCTTTATCCATTTTTCATGTTAACATTTTGTAAAAAGTACAAAATGCATGGGAATTAAGGCTACACAACAAAAGCTGTGGTAGCCTAATGATTTGACCTACTGCCTCTAAAGCAGAGGCCGTGTGTTCGAATCCCGGTTCGTACCTTTAGGTGAAAGAAAACACGTGATGAAACCTGCACGTCGAAGAAGGTTCACAACTCTCGGAAGTCTGTAAACTCCTCAACCCGCATTGGGCCAGAGTGGCAGACTATGGCCGAAATTAAACCCTTGCCTGAGAGAAGACCTGTGCCCTGGAAGTACAATAAATAGACAACTATAGTAAGTAAACGTATGTTACGTAATATAGCAGTGTTTCAATTTAAATATTATTTCGCCCATATAATAATAATTAAGTATGCCACTGATATAATTTTCGATTCACGATAAAGTTCGCGACATGATAACGTCGCAGTTGGAACGATTGCTCGATAATAGAAGTTAATTTATTTTATCTTTCTCTTTAACTATTATGAGCTCACAATTTCGAGTGCCATTTAGTGAAATGAATCCTATTTTTTGGTTTCTACAGGATTTTGTACATTTGCCTTTTCTTCTTTTTAAACATTTTTTTTCATTTGTTGGTGGAGCTTCTTCCAAGCCTTTCTGTAGTAAGCTCTTTCCTGGACTTTCTTGTTCAACGCCTCGTTTGTCTTTCCTCTAATCTAATTTTCAGTCTTCTCCTAATTTTAGGATGTTTTTAGTAAAAACGATCGTATCCAAGTTGGCCTTACTTTATGGTGTTCATCAATTTTATTTTTCCATAAGCATGGCAAAAGTTCATATTTGACACTATTTGTTAATTATTACAAAACCTATTGCTAACAATAAAATTATCAATTCTGCTTTGCCACAGAACACATTAAAAAAATCGAAATTTCGTTGCCATTATTGTTTTTTCTATTTGTTATTATAAAGCAAAACAAAACCTTATAACTCATTATAATCTAGCCTTTTTACATGACTAATTTTAATCCTAAAATAATAGTAAATTATATATAAAGAAATTGTCCATCGACAAAATATCTAGGAGACACTTTGTTCGTGTGTTCATAATATAGGTTGGCGAAATATTGTAATCGTAAATCAATTTGTCATGCCTAAATTATTATAAGAAATACAATATATGCACACAGATAGACAATATATTCTATCAACGAATATCACAAAACAAGGTAGGTGTGAAAGACGGTTTTATTGCGTACCTCTACCGGCAATCTTAAAATGAAACAAAATAAAATATCACGACATGTAAGATTTTTTACAGCATCGTGGTTATATAAAAGTTTTGCTAACCTCATTCATTCCACAATAATATATTGCGTTACGTACTACTACCATAATGGTAGTGTAATAAAATATTCTGTTATAAATATGTGTTTGATGCTAATGTAGTCTAAAACGGTTTAAAATTATTACTAACTAGCAAAATCAAGCACTGTAATCAGCGACTCTAAAATCATAACGCCAATAAGGTGGGTTCACACAGTGGTTAACATATAGTATTTGAATATACAGTTCCAAACAGAGCCGTAATCAGTCATTAATTTAACATGGGGTCACGGTATTTACGACTGATTACCATTTGTCAACCGTAGTATACTTTTAGTCTGTTCATAATATATATACTTATTTATATTGCAAGGTGGCATTTTATTTCTGTTGTTTGCTTTAAAAGATGATAGTAATTATATATGAATGTATCTTTTGCTTTAGGAACCATTGGAAATACACATATTTCATATAATTTTGTCGCGTTGGTACAAAACATTTTGCATAAAACAGTTCTTGTTTTTTACGGATTTACAAATATCTCTATAATAAAACTTGTTAATATATATATAGGTCTTATTATTTTTTAAAGTAAAAACACTAATATTACGCTGTATAATCATCAGGGATCGAAATAGGGTTTTTTCGAGGAACATAGACAGAAAATGGTGACTGCCTTACGAGAATATTTTTTAGGTCCTTGATTTTATTCGAGATTCGGGAAATCACTTGAGTATATTAAAAATTGACGTTATTAGGGATATAAAGATTAGACTATATTTATCTTAACTTTGCGACGAGTTGTTGCAACACCAACTTTCAGAATATTTAGGAAAAATCCTACAAAAAAAGAAATTTCAATAATTTTATTCTAAAAGTATACATTTTACAAAAGACTATATCCCGCCAAACTGGAAACAGTTACTTAATAATAATAAATAATAATAATAACTTGACACATTTAGTTAGAGTTAATAAGATTTTATTACTAACGTTCTGTTTTATGGACATTCCTGCAAAATCCTAAAACTATTGCAACGACTCTTAGTGTTCTAGGCATTCTAGATATACGTTTTAACTGTCTGACTCGATTTTCATGTCATAATCAGAAAACTTCTGCATGCTTAACACATTTTGCCAGCCTTCTTTAAAATAAAAAAGGGTGCGAC